ACTGTTCAATCAGATTTTCAAAGGAATCCAGAAGAGTTGTCTCCCAGATCACCCCTTGACTAATGTTCTGCAGCAAAACTGTCTGCTGAATAACAGCAAGAGTTAAATAGGATAACTACATCCTTGAGAAAGCAAGTGGAAGGATATTCTCTGCTTGAACTAATGTGTATCCAAGTAAGCTGGCAGGGCTGGAGTCCCATGTACCAAGCTCTGGCATCTGAGGCTCAAGGATAAGGTGAAGCTCCCTCTCTCTTGCCAGAAAGGCTAACATTCCATTCCATCTTCTCTTGGATGACGTTTCCAAGTGTGAGATTAAATGGTAGAGCTACAGTGTTGAAATTGGTCTGAAATGAAAAGTAATGCTTGTAGGGTAAGCAACACAAATCTGCAGCATAACTAGAAAATTGTCCCCTGTTCTGCATTAGGATTAAGTGATGCCTACAGCTAGTTAGCTCTTGGGTCAATGTCAGAGTCAAACATACAATGATGCTATTTGAAAATCTCCACTATACACCAAGGTCACGTAAGCATTTTCAGATGTCAGTAGCACACTGGGAGCTGGCATATAGCTGATTATCCACTGTATTCTTCAGCTGCTCCTCCTCTGAGTTCCTGCTTCTCACATCAGAGGGAATCTAGGCAAACTGCATTTAACTAGATTAAATGCCTCTGGTTTATTAATTCCTATGGATGGAATACTGTTTCAGATGGCTGAGTTTCAACTTTCCTACTTACTGTTGCTTTATCTACTATGAAATGTGCTAATTTTTCTTTTGCCTCTTTGATAAAAATGTGAAAATAGTGAAGTGCCAAGGAGCTGGTTTCTCTCTTCACCTACCTAATATGTAGTTGCAGAGGGGTCAGGACCAGGCTCTTCTCAGAGGACCATAGTGAAAGTAGAACAGACAACAGGCACAGGCTGCAGCATGAGAAATTTCAACAGACATCTGCACTGAAACAGAGCCCGGAAGGAGCTGCTGGAAACGTGTGTATACATCCTTCTCTCTGCCCTGCACTCCAGGGCGGCTTGCAGACATGCTTCCACTTAGGCACTCAGAGGTTAACCATGCCTTTCACATAAATTGCATTCTGATAATATTATTTGTTGCCACGGACTCCAAAAGTGTCACATGTTAAAACCGAGCATCTGGTGTTTATAGGTTGCTGCAGGAGGGTCTGTCCCCCAGGCGGGTGTACTTTTGGGGCTCTGTGGCTGAGCACGGCTCCGGGCTGCACTGCCTCGCTCCAGCCAGACCCCACCGAGGGCCCCTGCGGAAAGCGCAGGGCCCCACCTGGGGGCAGGAAAAGTAATGGCAGGCTAATTCCACGCCCAGAGCTCCCGAGTTGTTTAAAGGGAACCCGGGGATACGCCGAGGAGTTGTTTACGACTCAAATTTTTCCCTAGCAGCAAATAGAAAAGCCTTTCCTAGGAGCAAGGCTGGGTTCCGAGTGCAGCCTCCTGAGAACTCCTCTGCACCAACAATGTCCAGGCGTCCTGGACCCACGTCCTGCTCGCCTCTGGAACGCGAACTCTGCTCTCTTGGACCTCAGAGGTGTGGCCAGCACCAGCAGGGCCCGGTGATCTCCGCGACCCGCTTGGGAACCCGCAGAGGGACCAGCCTTTTAAACCAGGCACGGCTGTGCGGGGCATCGGCTCCAGCGGCGGCTCCGTGAGGGGAGGCCGCGGCTGCCCCTGCCGGCCACAGCCGGTTCCAGCCGGATCCAGCCGGCCACAGGCGGTTCCCGCCGAACACAGCCAGGCACAGCCGGTTCCAGCAGGACACAGCCAGGCACTGCCGGTTCCAGCCGGACGCAGCCAGGCACAGGCGGTTCCAGCCGGACACAGCCGCCCCCCACTCAGGGCACGGCTGAGCCACGGCCGGGGCGGGAGGGGGGAATGAGTTTAACAAGCGCCAAACACTGCACGGCAGAGTGCCAGGGGAAAACAGTGGAGAAAGTGCCTTGCGAGCACACGAAGAGAAGGAGGGGAGAAGGCGGAGGAGTCGGGAACACAGTAGAGAGGTTGAGTCTGGGGAGAAAACGAGTGGGAGGAAGGTGTTCAAGTTTTTTTCTTTCTCACCAACTATATTAATTGGTAATAAAGAAATTTTCCCCAAGTCAAGTCTGTTTTGCTTATGGTGGCAATTGGTAAGTGATTCTAAACATAGGAATATCTGCCAAGTGCCTGCTAGAAGCAGTGTTAAGAATCCTCCTGTCAGTTGACTTGGCTAGTTTTCCCTGGATCTGGCATCTTGCCTTTTTTCCCATGTTGCTATAGTCAGGTGAGAAGAAGTGCCACAAGAAGCATGCAGGAGACTTGAAAAATTCCTGTGAATAGGTGATGCTTCTGTTGCACGTTCAGATGTGCTTAAACAAATAGCAGAATTCCACTGGAATTAACTGCAATCTATCAAAACATCAGCAAGTACAAGTAAAGATCCCATACAGTCATCAGAAACCATAACTTGTACTAAAGCAAATATCCTGTACTCACTAGTAGATCAGTGAGAATTATCCCAGTGTTTTCAATGGAAATGCACTTGTCATTCCATTGGCAGACTGTTTTAAACCAAAAATGGTTGTATAGGATCACAACCCTTACCTCCACCAAACATAATTTATTTGGCTATCAGAATGATGCTCAGACTGATCTCTACATAAATAGGTCTTACCAGAGCAAGAGTTGAAGAAAACCCCTCATCCTTCTTGGAGAACACATCAAAACTGCCTAACACCTAAGTGATTTGTGAGAGGTAAGAGTGAAACAAATTTTGAGGTTACTGTGTGTTAAGTAATATTTAGCCAGGAATTATTGGGCTGGCAACATTGAGAGACATAGGAGAAACAGCAACAAACATCTGTACATTTACTTGTTTACCACTGTCTTGAAGGTTGGTAGTAGAACTGAAGAGCTCTTATTGTGTTGTAAAAGCATTACTGAAGTCAGCTAACACCCTGAATAATTACTGCTAGAGTGCTTACCAGGACTCAAGGTTGCTCAGTGAAAAAAGATTCTGTAAAAGGCTTAGATTTAAGCTGATTTCATCCCTAGTTTACCCAGAATATGAAAGATCACACTAATAGTTTGTAAACCTGCTGCTCTTTACAGGTTAGAAAGTAAATTGATAAACGTGCGTGGGAATATAAAAATAAGAAGGTTATCAGACAGAGTTAACCCACAGCACTGGGTAGCCTTGCATAAGCAAACATGGCTATAGATTTTGTATGAAGTCCTCACAATGTATAAACAACTTTAGGTATTTTTCATTTCAAAACAAACCAAGAAGATAAATAAAAAAATAATAAAACAAAATTGGCAGTTCTTATCAACAATTTACTGAAATATCAGGAAATGAACCATCACCTGGGTCAGACCTGGAGCCTTACAGGGTATGTCTACATTAGTGGTCTGGAACAGGAGAATGTGTTAAAAATTAATTTCTTAACTGTGCTTTTGCTCCCATCATAGTGTGGTCTTGGAGTGTACAAACTGGATTCTTTCTGGATGAAATTGAACTGAAAAAGGTGCTTCAAGAGTGCACCAAACGCTGTTTAAGTGTCACTCAGTCCACACAACCACCCCTGAGTTATGCTGAAGTTAGCCCTGTTCCAAACAGATGCAGTCTTGCTGACAAGGCTTCAGTGCCAGCTGTTCTTCTGCTCACACTCATTGCTGCTGTACCACTCTATTTATAATAGGAATAACCATCAGCTGTTAGGCTTATCACCAACAAGTACTGGCAGAGGCACCTCCTGCATCTGCTGCATCTTTGATTGTAGAACTCTTGAACAGCATTCCACAACAACTTTCTTCATTTTGTGGAGAAAAAGTTCACTTAGCAAAGGAATTGTGATCAACAACTACAGTGTTTTCCAAACTTTTCCAATGAACTAATCTGAGATTAAACCAAGGACTGAACTGTAATTGCAACTGACACTACATTAGCTGATAAATTACTATAGGTCAATACAAACTTTGTATACCTGGCAATGAGGGGAAAGTGTTTGTAGCACTGAAAACTTCGATCTTGCTGAAGCTGAGGAGTCTGATGAGCTCTGAAGTGGGGAGTTGTTTATCAGATATCAGATGAGTGTCCAGCAGCATATTATTTCTCAACCCACAGCTAACAAGGGAATAAACCAGGGTCATCAGAGATTGAGCAAAAGCCTTTTCTTGTAAGCTATGTCATTAATGTAGAACCATAAATAACAAATATGAAACACCAAGGTAACATCCTGCAGAGCAGCTTTTCATAAACTAAGTGCCATTGTTTGAAGTGATTAAAACAATTTTAAATTCCTTTGTCTAGCTGTCTGTGGAAAACATAGAATTTTAAAAAAAGAGGAAAAGAAACATTTTGAGTTTGGTTGGTACTGGATAGAACCTATATCAGCTTTGTGTGATGGTTTACTACCTCCCCTTCACATCTCCATTCTCTTGTTTATAAACACAAACAAAATATACCTTTCCATGAGGCATGTGAGTTAACAACGACCCTCCTCATATCAAATAAAAATAATTTATCTGCCAAGAAAAGTAAAAAATTATGTTTGCAAGCCCCAGCTTTCATTCACAAAACAACAGGACAATGTGACTATATAAAAAGTTTATTTGATTAGTACAGGTACTGTAGATACAGCAGTTAATCAAAAACATAATTTGGCAGTCAGTTTATTTCCTAATTCAGTAATAAAAGTGCAGCTTAGTTATAAAGGCACAGTGTTGACATTTAGACAAGTCACTGATGTCCAGTAGAAGTGGCAGGAGAAAGAACTCCCACTTTCTTTAAAAACCACTTGTTCCATTTGCCAGCAGTGATATTAAAGAAGAATAAAGGCCTACATTGGAAGCAATCATCATATAAAAATCTGATCTGGATCTAGAAAAAAGTCCTCAGAAATAGCATGACACACTGAAGCTATCAGTCAGCAACTCACATTTCTCTTTTCTGCTGTTCCACAAAGTCTCTAGGAAGACAGTGTGCTTGCTACCATTTCACTTGCTTAAAAATCTCGAGATGAATGAAGGAGAAAATAGGCTAGTACTGAAGTGTTATAAAAGACACCTGCCTGCTGTATTTTGTGTGAGGGCATGACCTCTTTCCCACTGAGACACTTCTGGAACACCCCTCTGCCTTCTTTCACAGTGTAATTAGACATGTGCAGTCAGGCAGCTCTCTTACCGCCTGCAGCCAGGCAAACTAATTGGCTTTTACATCATAATACATGCGAAGAACTCTCCTGACAGTCTCCACATATTTATCATCAGGAACAGGTTTCCTCTGGCTTCCTGGCTCCAGAAATTTCTTGATTGCAGGGATGCTGCTTATCCTTGCTTTAAATGCCTAAAAGGCAAACAGTAAGTACAGGGTATTTAAAGAACAGAAAGTAAGACAAAAAACCCCTATTTTACTGATTTGTGTAACATCCTTTAACAAGCTGTATGTGGAGACAAGACAGGAAATATGGTTTCAAGTGTGGATGAATTTTACTCCCACTCTCTTCAACCCCTTCATTTTCCACAGTAACAAATGAGCCATCTGTCTTGTATTGATATGGGATGAAGTGTTATCTGTGGTTTCTAATATGTACATTACTCAGATTGTTCTTGTGATCCAGAAAATATCTTCCGCTTAGCAGTTTCACAGAACTGGTGAGAGTCAAACAAAGGGAAGGGTGCATTTCTTCAGATGTGTACAGGGGTTACTCCAAAAAATAACAGTTTCTCTAGATGAAACATCTTACAAGGCTCTTCCTAAAGCAGGAAAAGCAAGACTACAATGAAAAAGTAACAAATGTTTGTGGAATTATTTACACGGAACAGACTTTGAAATATAATTTATCACATTTTTAGCCATACGAGCATCTTGTTAGTGCAAGGTACCTGTAACTGAGGAAAGCCTGATAGTACATCTGACTTCTTCTCTTCTACCATTAAAATGGCTTCAAGAAGATGAACATCTGCCCAGCTAAAATTGTTGCCAACAAGGAAGTCCTGCCCATGGTCTTTCAAAACCTAGAAATGTCATAGATGAAAACACTCAGGTGTGGATAGCCAGCTGAGGTTCATGTTTTCAAAATTCATAGGCACACCTTCTTTGACAACACTACTGTGTCCTTTTCATCCTTCTCTCCCATGCAGCTAACAGGGGGAACAGAGGATACACCAGCAGTCACTGATCATTTTACAGCAGAAATCCAGAATACCAAATCCCAGAGTTTTTCTTACCAATCCTTTCTTCCTATAACTCTAGATAACCTTGTGTACTAGACTATAGGGTTAGATACCTTCTTGGTATTCATGTCTTTCAAGTCTAATTTATCTGGATTTTTTCTATACATTTTTACAGCTTCAATGGGAAAATAGAGAGTATAAAAGAGAGGTGATTGGCCAAAGCATTAGGGCTAAGATGCAACAGGTGGAATACAGGGCAGAATGCACCCTGCCAACCACCTATAGGAGACCCTGCAAAGTGAAAAACTGTTTTCTCTTTAGTCTTTAAAATGGAGAGGAGCTACTCCTGCTAGATCATCCTGCCCATGCATATTAATTTCCATTGAGAATATCTCTTGGGTCCTATCTCTCAAATTATCAGTTACAGAAACACCAAGATTCCAGTATGGCTACAAGTCAGCAGTCATAGCTGTGTATTACTGTGTTTACAAAAACCCAACTGAGATGTATTTGAAATGTTAAACAAAGAAGACAATTAGCACTGCTTTTGCAATGCAAATTACTGTGGTGGGGTTGACCCTGGCTGGGTACCAGAAGTCCATCAAAGCTGCTGTATCACTCCCTTCCTCACCTGGACATGGGGAGGAAAATACATTGAAAGTCTCTTGGGATGACCCACCCCACCATATCTGATACTGCTCTGATCCCCCTCCAGCCAACAGACAGTAAGGATGTTGTGGTGTAAAGTACTGCACTGACACTTCTGCTTCTGGTTGTGGCCAAACACCCAGTGTTCCTATTGTTATCCCTCCAGAATCAGGGAAGAAAATGATCCTTCTCCATACCTTTTCATACACTGGGAAATACCTGCCCGTCGCCTTTTGAACTATGAGAGCATGTTGTTTCTCTTTATCCTCTGCTGATAAGAAAGGGAACATCAAAATGAAGCCCATAAGGTCATCAGTTCCTCCAACATACATATCAATCCTTAAAAGCAAAGCAAACAAAAACCTTAAATAGAAGGCACCTTCACAAGCCAAGTCAACTTATATTTGTTTTAGGATAGTAAACACTGAATTTCCCGTCCCCCTGTCATGGTGCCTCCCCCCCCAACTCCTTTCCAGGCTCCAGTATGATCTGAGAAATGCTTTTTTAAGCAATCTCAAACACACTCCCTCATGGAAATGATTTCTGCAATTAAAAAAATTATGTCACAGTGGGTGTCTTACTTGTATTTGTAGTGATTTTGGCTCTTTACTTGCTTCATTGAGCAGGTTTAAAAAGGATTGCACAGAGATTGTGTACCTTTGGTGTTACAGATCACTTCACAATCACCAAAGAAACACACAGCACCACAAGGAGTCATTCCCAACTGACTTAATTGTCTGGATGTATCCCACCTTCAGAATGTCATCCAAAGTCCAAGTAGTGCCAAACAGATAAATAATGGGGTTGGAAGTCTGTAGCATACCAGGTTCTTCATCCAGCTAAATTATCAGTATAGCACTTCTTTGGATTGTCCCTTTCCCAGAGCTATCAGAGCAGGCTCTATACTGTAGATGGACCTTTAAAATGCTACATACTGAGACAGCCCCATCATACTTTTTTTTTCTTCACATGCACAACATCAAGACATAATTTCACACGGATGTTATTTCACATGAAACCAATAGTTTTTCAACAGCTTTTAGCTGTTCTTTCCCCAGCTCCCAAAGATCTAAACCACACACTTTTTACAGTGCAGTGGGGGACATCATGCAACCACAGATAATATCAATGACAGCTCTTATTTTGCAACCAGAAGTTAGAAACTAACCATTTCTTTCCAGAGTTTTCTGGTTACAAAAGTAGTTCAGCATCTACATGCCAGTCACCTCTCGAATACCTATGTCAGGCTGTATTAATCTTTCAGTAAGGCACAATAAAACCATGACTCAAATACTTTTATGTGGAAAGTAACTGAGTTAGAACAAATCAATTGGCTTGCATCTAACTGTGGCTTCTCAGGCTCACTGCAAGTTGTGTATCACTGAGGCCCACAGGTGATTGTGCACAGGTGTGTGTGCAACTATGCAATTAATTCTAGATGCATCTGAACTACTACACTAAATTCAAGAAGAGTAATACTGTTGCATACAAGGCTCTCTCCTTCAGGTCCTTCCCATAGAGGTTGTACTTTGCTGCAATGTAGTTGAGGATGGCTCTGGTCTGCACCATCTTCATCCCATCAATCTCCACCATGGGCACCTGCTGAAACAGCAGGGATCCACCTAAAAGGACAGACACACATTATTCGACTGATCTAATAACTCCATGTCAGATTTCTTGCTGTCTTCAGAGGAACATTGCTTTTATGGTGAGCTTGCTGTGGGTAGCCGTTGTATTAAACTAGAGTTCTTCCATGCAAAAAATAAATTACAGTGGTGTAGACAAATTCAACTGAAAAGCACAATTATTGGGGGTTACCATCCTTTCTTTAAAAAATTTTCACTGAAGTTTCAGTCAGGACTGTGTACAGCAGCTTTTGAAATGAAATTGAAATGCAGTGGAGACAATCACACTAAACATCTCAACTGAGTAAAAAGTGTCTAGTTCTAAACAATGTAAAAAACCCTCTGTACCATTATTCAAACACTATGTGAAGCAAATGTTAGATCCACAGATTTCTCTCTTATGACCAATCTTTAGGCCATATCAGGACATAACATGAAATGTTGGGATACATATTTTCTGGTTACTGAAGCCCATGATTAAGTTTGTGGGACCAGGTGGGATGTGTAGACAAACAGAGAACAGAAGAATCCAGAGGCCTGGCAAACCCTGCAGGTTGGAAAGATACTCAGTTTGCAATTTCATCTGTCCACGTGTGGAAAAAATCAGCCTCAGCAGCTGCTCACAACTCTCAGCTTTACTCTTCTGTGTGGAAAGAAAGACACATAAAGTCTTCAAAGACTTCACACATCTTCTCTAAGTCTGATTACACATTTCTTGAGGTTTCACATGGACTCACCTTGCAGGAGTTTCTCATACTGGTCTCGGGTTTCCAAAAACTCTTCTTCAAACTGACAAAAGAGAGAGAGGAAGAAGAGGAAATAAGAATCTTTTCACATTTCTAGAAGAGGTAAACTTTTAAAGCACCATAAAAGGAAAAGAATATCAGATATGGCTCTAAGGGAGAACACACCAAGGACAGAAGTGCTGGCAATATCTCCTGGACTGTCACACTTGATAAATGCTGCTAAGGGCAACTGTAGCAGAAGAACAGGCAATAAGAACTGGAGTGAGCATGGTTTGTTTGGTATTAAACAGGCAATATAATGTGTAACAATCAACAATACAGTCTAGGCTCTCCTTAAGATGCTTTCTGGCATGTGGAAAAAATCTGCTGTGTGGTATTTTGATTTGGGAGCTAGACAGGAACAAATTCTTTGGAAGTTAAAACAAAGCATTTACAAAATAGTGTCCAAGTAGCACGCCCTGCAGGAGGTTTGATACAGATGCATGCTTCAGACACGTGAAGATTAAATATTCACAAGATGAGAAACAAGAAGATACAGAATTGCTGGTGAGATGGATGTAGTTGCACTCAGTATGGCTGAGGATGGCCAGTCAATCAGTGTTACTTATGGAGAAACTGAGTTCAAGATTAAGACCCCAAAGTTAGACATCTACATGTATGTGTTTGCATGTGCCATACATGTCTGTGATCAGTGCACAAGATAGGGACTAGAAAATGGTAGATGTTACCAATCCCTAAATGCCTTGCTCAGTCAGCCTCTCTCATAACATCTGTGCCACTCAGCAATTAAGATTTGCTATACTAGAGAAACCCCAGAAGATCGGGCACATTAACACACTGCCAATGTTCAACCACAGCAAGGATGATCACAGTCTAAAATTCAGAACCCAGGTTTCTGTTGATGAGAAGCTGAGAAAATGATATTCCATGGGAAAAAAATGTAGTAATTGGTACTTATCAACAGCTTTTTTTAAAACTTAAAAAAGAAAAAAGAAGAGAGAGGCACTTAAAACATAGGAACAAATGATGGAGGGAAGCAGACAGTTCTATCTTCTATCTTTTGAAGGCCTGCCTTCAAAAAAACACTGGTGGTCTTTTTAAAAAAACTTGTATTCCTTGACTCAGTTCACAAGTAACTTTATGTATTATAACAGCTTATTGTGTAAAAGAGGGCACTCAGAGCAAATACTAGTCCTTTGTGTCCTCAAACTATATTACTAGTTTACCACCAAGATGGCCAGCAAATGAATAAGTAAATCATATACCATCAGAAAAAAGTAAAGGCTGTTTTAGCTGTTTTTCCTAAGTATTTAGAGATTTCTGATTTCCCTACACATGTGGGCCAATTTGCTCACTTCACCCTGCTAAGTTTAATCTAAATGATGCTAGACACAATATATTTTGTGTTACAGCTTATGGAAGATGCAGCCAGTGGAATGAAAAATAAAACAAAAATCTCTGTGTGAGCATTCAACTGAAAACAGGAAGACTAGAGAAAGTAAATTGCTGTTTTATCAGGCACAGATAACACTTGTTATGCAAGCAACACATCTATCAGCTCAGCAGCTCTGGCTCATTAATCTTAATTAATTATTAAACTCATTAAACTTAATTAAGGATTGCAACATGAAGCTATGCTTTTGTGTGCCTGAAGTAAAAGTATTTAATTACACTGACTAGCCAACCTTCATTTACTATTGCATCTTGGGATGCCTTTTCTTTTTTGACTGATAACATGTGATCTGCCTCAAAGACAAGCTTACCAATGTGCAGCTAGAAGTTAAAAACTCTGAAACAAACCTCGACCCCAGCTGCAGCCAGCAACCAACGAATCGATTCCATCTTGCCTCTTCCATCAAAGTAGTAAAGTTTTGGTTTTGTGGACATGACTTCAAACTTTCTGTTATCTAAAAGGGTTAGAAGTGATAGTAAGTTAATAATTGTACAGAAATCTGATGGCAGCTGGAATAATGCTTCACTGGTCACTCACGCAACAGAAATTTAAGTTAATTTTTGACAAAATATTTTAGCAAAGTTTCAGTCTAAACTGATTTGATTTTCTTGCTGCACAATCAAGTCAAACTATAGACTTTTCATCCCCCTGAAATTCAAGAAAAGTAAGCATCAAATTGCTAAGTAGGAGATAACAGGAAAAAAATTGAAAAATCGCCATGAAGAAAAATCTTAAAACGTTTAGAAAATAGAAGTTTTAGCACTGAAGTTACACAGACACCACTAAAAGCCAAGTCTTGATCAAGGAGAAGAGGCAGGAAACCAAGTTTCCAAAACTGGCAGACCTTGTATCGAGGAATGCCATAAGTATCTAAACATTAATTCTACACATTTGGGTGAAACATGGGAATGCACTTTTAAGCCTCTCACTTTTTTTTCTAGCTGTGGTAATCCAGCAATCAGTAGAAGCTTCAAAAATATCACAATATGAGGATCAGTAGAAACTTAGAAGAATGGCCTGTTTCTTCTGTAATAATCCAGATTAAAATACAGAGTTTCAGAGTGTTGCACTACTTATCCTTCTACAGGCTGTATTTCTTTCTATTAATAAACCCTGTTGCTATGCAAAACTTCATGGACTTTTCAGATGATCCAATGCTGCTTTGCAAGCAGCATGTTGGTTCTTTAATGACTTCATAAATGAGGCTATTAGTTGTTGTTTTTTGAATAGACTACTGTTTAGGCTTCAGCAGGAACTGGATTCTGCTGTAGAGCCATCAGCCAAAAGAGCAATCAAATGTAATCACACTGGCATTTCACATGCAGAACTCCCTTACAGCAAGTCCTTGCTGCAAGTGAGAGCTGTTTTCCTTCTGTAAGGTGATTTATTGTCATTTCAATCCACAGTTCCAGTAATTCTGGAAAAGAGGCTCTTGGCATGTGAACAATAACCCTCCAGTTTCCGATGTTCCAAGAGCCCCTTTGTAAGCAGAGGGAAAAAAGACCTTGAGCGTGCACAAAGTGACCTGCTTGTTAGCCAACAGGCACGAAAAGAGAACACAAAATATGAGAGTGCATCAGGCCATGGGAATTCAGACGAGCCTGGCTATTCCACCCCTGCCTGCTCAGGAGCCTCTGATTGCTCTTAGGTGACAGGGAACTAAAACATTGCCAAGTACTATCTCTATCGCTGATAAATATAGCAGGGAATTAGAAAAGTATCACTGTGAACTACACAAAACAACAGAATTTAACAGGAGCTACTTGTAATACAGTTACTTCCAAAAAGAAAGAAGAAAAAAGCCAAGGGTGATTTTTAACTTGCAGTTTAAAAAACTAAAGAAACAGAAGAGTCACTCTTCCTCAGCGGCACTTCTGGAGACCTGCTCTTAGCAGGCAAGTGAACAGGTCACAGGACATAAGCAGGTCACTGATGCCCAACACACCTCAAGGCAAAGGCATGGTGGGTGCTTCTTTTATAATACTTTATAAATAATACCTTCTTAAATGCCAGGGGATCAACAAACTTGGAAATGAGCTGTAGCATTCTAGGTTCCTAGGACTGAGCCTGCTATGCCATACTGGAAGAGAAAGTCCAACTTGTGAACTAAAATCTGATGGAAGGAGCACCCTGGTGATGGGCAAAGAGCTTCTCCCTTCTCTGCCCTTCATCAGAAAGAAGTAAAGTAGCAATTTGCAGCCAGGAGCCACAGTTACTGGTAGGTTGCTGTCCATTGCCCTCAGCCTGACTGACACCTCAACAGGGAAATGGACTTTGTGAAAAATTTGTTCCCTTGCTTCTGTGCGAACTGGGCAACGAGGGAACATGATTATCAGTGCAAGAAGCGATCGCTCCCACGCAGGGAGAACACGGCCCAGAAGAACATCGGTGAAGAGGGCCAGGGGAGCAGCTGTGCTTGGCACGTCCCGCACATCCAGGGCTCTGGGGCCCGATTTTCCCTGCCTGCATTCAGCAGCCCAGCAGCGCTTCCACTCTGCACCCGCAGCACCAACCTGGGTGCAGCGTGTGACAGGCAGCAGCCCCGGGGCCATCGGCTCCCTCCTCTCCCGGGGACAAGCCCTTGGCAGACGTGAGATGACGAGCGGTCTGCGCTGCGACACGGGGAGCCCGGGACCGGGAGCGGATCCACGGCTCAGGCCCGAGCCCGCCACACAGTCCCGGCTCCCCGCCTCACCTGAGCCAAGCGCCCACGGGCACGGCTTGCCGGGGGGACAGGAAGAGGGAAATCCCAGGGGCCCACATTACTCACACACACGGAGGGTTAAGCGGGGATGCCCAGCGAGCACACGACGCCCCAAGGCAGAGCAGTCCCGCCGGCCCCGCCCGCCGCCGCGATCAGCTGCAGCCTCAGCCGCCGGCCCCGCCTGCCGCCCTCCCCGCCCAGGCCACGGGACGGCGACGAGCGGAGCAGCCGCCAATGGGAAGCCGTACATTTGCAAGTTTCGCAAAGCCTTCTGGAAAGACATCTCACCCTAAAGAATGTCGCTAAAATTTTTAAACTGGGTTAAGAACTGGTTTTTCTAGGTGGTTTTGTCGCTGCAAAGTGATGATTCCTTGCGTTGTGTTGTTGGATTTTAAGCCATTTTCTAAACCATGATGTAAAAGGCGCCGGCAGTACTGAGCTATAAATACAGTGTGGGGAGCGTTCATTGTCTGGATGTGAGGGCGATCTGGCTGCGACATCTGTCACCCCATTGATCGCCAGGGTTGATTCGGCTGATCTGGCTGGCTAGGCGGGTGTCCCCTTCCTCCCTCAACGCTCCATGTGCGTCCCTCCCGAAGCTGCGCGCTCGGTCGAAGAGGACGACCTCCCCGATAGAGACGGTACCGTTCATCGGTCAAGGGTATACGGTAGCTGCGCTCCCCTGCTAGAACCTCCAAACAAGCTCAAGGTCCATTTGTAGGAGAACGTAGGGTAGTCAAGCTTCCAAGACTGCAGACACATCCAAGTGAGGCGCTGCATGGGGCAGTCTGCCATTGTTTTGTGCTCTATACGCATTCTGTGAGGGAAGGAGTGTGTATGCAGAGAGTTTTATTTCACTGTATCACTTCTTCAATTCCTCACCCACCTACAAATCCGTGACCTACTCATGTCACACCTCCACGCCCTCGTCATGTCCACCTCCCCGCCCCCACCTCCCACCAGGTAAAACTGGAATCCTTGCAAATGTAAATGTATTTTTCACCTAGTTCTTCACCTGTGCAAGTGCTTGTCAGCCCACTTAAACAGCTAACAAAAGGGCTGGGCTTGTAAGGTATAAACTATTTTCAGCTTCTGCTGCCTTGAAAGCCGGGGACAAGGCTAAAGGGGTGACACAAGACACAGAACAACAGAACAGGAACAGAACAGAATAATTTCCCTTAGAAAGGGACCCACAACAATCTAGTTCAGCTGCCTGTCCTCCTGTTACGCATATTGCAATTCAGTCTGGCAGGCAGTTTCAGAGGAGCTGACAGCCAAGGAAGACTAAGCAATCGGTTTTACAGGGAGCTCACAGTGTACTGCAGAAATTACATGCTTACACTCAAACCATGTGGCCAGTGAATGTGCAGTGTCCCTCCAAGGTGGCTTGTTAAAAAAAAAAAACAAAACTAACCAACCCCAACTAAAAAAACCTCAACCAAACAAAAAACAAACTAAAGTGCTTTCATTAAAAACTGAATAAAAGAACAAGCCAGTCAGTCAGTGCTTCCTCAAAGATAACTTTATTCTGGGCAGGACATTTGACACAGAAGGAATGAAACAAGCATTTAGAATGCTTCTGAACAAAAACACTGAATAAACAAGAACCATTATTTCTCCACATCTCTGACAATTCCACCCCCTCCTTCCATATTAAGTTCTAAAATGTTCTTTCAGTACACATTTTCCTCCTCACATTATGGAACATCCTGCTCATATCAACAGCCATATCAGATACAGGAACACCAAGAGAGTGGATTTTCTAGCTTTTTTTTTCTTCTTGTTAACATCATGGCACTTACACACTGCTTTTTGGAAAATATGGATTACAGGGATAAATGAATCCACTGTCAGACTCCTTTATTATTACGTGTTATGCCTGAGAAAATGTAAACAGTACAATTCTAAAAACATTTTCCACAAAGATGCTAAATATTAAAGCACAAAGTAGTAGGTTACATATCATAAATTCTCAGATATGCTGCTTGTCCAGATTTCAGTGTATATATAAAGACCTCCATCTTTTCCATATCTGTATTGCACAGGGACAGCACGGTAAAATACATAAACTCAGCTCTATCCTGCTCAAAAAGAACTTTTCCAGCTTCAGTAAGAATGTGCTTGAGTAAAGGATACAGCCATTACATCTAGCTAATTTTCTCTCTCACTAAGTTAAAACTAGCTGTGATTCTCAATGTCAAGATTATTAGCTTTTTTTCCCAAAAATAAAAGGCTTTAACTTAGGAAAGTAGGAGATATATAAAAAAAGAAAATTATAAGTACAACTTACTTTTCTAATCTTTTGACTGGACCAACTAAAACCTGAATGCTATAGTCAAGAGAATCCCTGATGGCCTGATAAAGGTTCAGAGATTACAGGCCAGGTTCAGATTCATCCTGTGCTACTTAAATCTCACAGAGTTGTCCCCTTCCTCAGTAGACACTCAGGTATCTCCAGAATGTTAATATGCTCTCAAATGATACAGATTTCTTTTGGCATGATTCTCACTCACCAGGGGTGAGTCACCTCACAACAAAGGAGCTCACACTTAGTATGATGAATCCAAGCCTCAGCTGCCTGTTCTCATGACTTGTCTCCTTCCACTTGTAGGAACTAAGTGTACAGACCAGACTACTTGCATTGCCTACTTAGGTCTAGGGACACTGGGATAGGTTCAGGGTGTTCATTCTTGAGACAAATTACCTGGTGATAAAATAAATTAAATGATACGTTGACATAAATACAGGTATTTATTTCCAAGAGAAACAACTGTCTTTCCAGTTCTATGACAAATATACATATTTCCCTTTCCACTTACTCACAGACACCCATCAGCGTGCTTTAGAAATCAAATGGCTGCTTTACTTTACTGCTAAGCATTGGCATCACTGCTGTGGAAGCAGTTAGGTATAGAGTTAGTACTTGCTATGCCCAGATAATAGGGCAGCAGGACACACAAGATGTCTTTGGAATGTGTCTTTCATGAACACTTTTGTTCTTTCTTTGTCTTGTACTGTCTCACTGTGGGCTGAGCCTATAAAAGCAAACAGTGAGCAGTGCTCCCTGTGGTTCCCCCTGTAGCACTGAGCCAGCAGCCTACCCTAGGGTACAGTTTCCTCAAAATCCCACACATTCACCATGGGAAGCACTGAAAAGGCCAGAATATGTTCTCAATCTCGACCACAGCAGCTGCCCCTTGTGTGTGCTGGCAGATCCCATGGAGAGATCTCATTAACACAAAAACTATTCAATTCCTGTGAAATGGCTGGAAGCTGAGAAATGCACCTGCTCTGATTCCTTTAGGCTGGATTTAAGTCTCATAAATAAACTGTCTTCCTGAGCTGATCACACAATGAGCTCAGTAAGATCAGTATTTCTGCACACTTCTGCAGGGAGATGCATTTTCTCAGCACACTTCAGCTTTGGCAGCACTGCTCCAGAATGCAGCTGTGGAAAGTTCTCTCCCACAGCACTGAACAGTTTTATCTTTCTTCTGCAGAAGGAGGTGCAAAACAGACAAATGCTGACAGTGCTCTAAAAGAGTCTTCTGCTGATGGCTGGACTCTGGCACTCCTTTCCAGAGTAGAACTAAACCTGATTATGGGGCTACTTCCTTTTCTCTATACCTTGATATAAATCATACTCTCATAAACTGAGTTAAACTGCTCTTCAAAGAACAGTTTTACCAATTTAAAATTTATCAATTTCAGTGAAATCAACCACAGTTTTACATTTTTTAACAGGACCACATAAGATCCCATTTTTTCCTGTAGAGCCTCTGGGGCTAATTTATGGAAGCTGACATATTCTTCACATCGTAAAAGATGTACTGAGTGAAGAAGAACTGAGTATAAACATAAGTAAGGTTAGACCGACTCATTTCCTCTGGGTTGTTTTGGTTTTTGAAGTTTTTTTTCCCTTAAGTGATTTAGAACAGTTGTGAAAATTAAGTCAGCTGCATAGATCTTGTTTCCTTAAACTATGTTGCTGGCATATCATTAATATTTTGTTACTCTGAAACCAGTTTTATTAGTGCTATTAATTTATTGTTAATATGTTCTTAATATATCTTCAGCTTTTACATTTGCAACAAAAGAAAAAGATGAAACAGAATCTCTTTTTTCTCCTTAGAAATCATTAGACCATTTACATGAATTTAACAGAGGTAGGTCCACATTCTATTTCATTGTGAACAATGCCAAAGAACAACTTTCAAGCAGCAAAAAGGAAAGCTGTGTCAGAAAACGGATCTACAGAAGAGTATTTACCCTTCACCAAATAAGAGTAGGATATGGTAAATCTGAATAGCAGTCCAACAAAAAACCTTTCAAAGGCAAAAATAAATTAAAAAAAAGATGCCTCCCACTATCTTTTCGCAGCCTCTTAGTGACTGTGAAGGAGAGTTTACACTGTTATGTCACTCACTCACTCACTCTGATGTCAGTACACAGCAATGAGCATAGGACAACAGAAGTGTGGCACTGAGACATGGCATCACTTGAAATTACACAGCCTCAATTAGCGCATAAAACTTCAGAAAATGTCCAATGAATGCCCTTTCCTCAGTACTTCTTCACTGCAATATTGCACCATGTTTTTTTTTAATCCACTTCTATAAAAAAAGTTGAGTCTAATAAAAAATTTAAATTTTTTAAAAGTTCATTATAAAAATTTACTGTATAAAAATGCCAAATACCCTAAGCCTTATATACAAAATGCATCACTTTTATGAAAATAACTGGACCCATGTATACAACAAAAACATTTTTATACAAAAAGGTACAAGACTGCATTCAGATTAATGCAAAGTAGTAAAAACCCTCCAAAATGTCTCATTCATGTAAGATGTGCTCCTTTTCAATGCACAGGTATATAAAGCAGTATGGAATGTCCCACGTCGGACGCCATTTCGGGGATGCACGCAGTGCTCGGAGGGCACTCCCCAGTCACCGGGGAGCGCCGTACTTGGCAGACCAGTCAACGCGGCCGTGGATGGGCTCCGCTGCCGGCGGCAGGGGCATCAACCGCGGAGAGCTCTTGGTGGGTGAGCTGAACGACGGCCACCCGAGAAGGGGCCTGACCGATGTCAGAGCTGCAAAATCTAAAGGACAAAACATTCTGTGATATAAAGGTTCAGCGAGAGCTGTCCATACTGAACAACAACTGGGTGCAGGTTCAGATCCTTACTTCTTCAGGAGGTAAGTCTCCTTTTTTAACAAAGTTTGCTGATGTGAAACAATAGCGGATCCAATCCCTAAAACCTTAGCAGACAAATAGTATTGACATCACTGATTTGGCAAGTGTGAAATCTACACCAGCTCTCACAGCAATCTATAGGTCCCATTGAAATAAGTTGTAGATAAACCCACATATTTAATAAACAAAAGTAAACACAAACCAAATCCTTCTCTATATGAAGTTCTGCAAGGTTACAAACAATACTTCTAGCCAGTCATACACTGACAAATAATATAAAGCAAAGATAGGTAGTTCAGTGCTGCATACATACAGCATTACTGTACTGACCAAGGGATCAAGAGAACTTCAGTACTGGACTTACCAGGAGATGGGTCCACAACTGGTGCTAACTGAACCCTCTGCCCAGCAGAACCTACTTCCTTCTTCAGGAATGAAGGGACATAAGCATTTGTTAGACCACTTGATCCTATGGGCCCTGAAAGAAATGGCAAGGAACACCTGAACACAATGGATCTCCCATACTGTTGACAGCAGACAAAGGTGTATCCTGAAGGATCATTTTCAAGACCAAGCCTGATCATGGAATGATCAAAAAAAGAACTTAACTGAAGGCATTTGAAGTCCTATAGCTCCTATATAAACACCTGCATTCAGGAGAGCATCAGCATCAGACTGCATTAGAGATGAACGGAAAACATGTACAAATTGTACCTGTCACAGAGAATGGCAATTCTCTCTGACATCTCAGCTTTTTCAAGGTTTCTCAAAGCTTTCAAAACTTAGCATTTCAATTGGAATTATCTTGCTTGACTTTCAGCAACTATGTGATAAGAATATATTGACTCATGGTTTCTATGTAGTGAGTCTGGGGCTTTGGTGCTACACAAAGCTCTTAGCGAAGCCTGTGAGAGCACAGCTTAAAAATGTGGTGATTCACGTTTCACATTTGGTGAATCTGAAAGATTCACATTTCAGATTTTGAAAGCCAGCTACAAAACTTGTCTCTAAGATGAGCAGGAACATATCTGACTGATCTGTAGGATAAGCCATGGAAATGGAACAAAACAGTCTAGAGTTGTTATAGCACAGAAGGGCACTAAACAAGATATCATGCACAGAGCAGGGCCATCACACATGTGCCTGCGCTGTACTAGAGCAGTGGCAAAGCCTATTGTGGGAAATTATGGTAATAAATAAAAAAGAAAAATCTAATGACTTCCTATGCTGCTACAAAAGAAGCAAAAACTTGTAAAAGAGTCAGGAAGGAGACGTGCTATGTATATAAAGGTTCTCATGCAGTTTAGCTATTTACAGTGTCCTCCCATCCTGAATCTTTAGAGAGTGATTTTCTCATTAAATTACATCCAAAACTTTAAGTTGTTGTTTTGCGCTTTTTTTAACCTGGTTTTCTAGAGGCCCAAAATGCTTCTTTGGGCAAAGATTCAACACAAACTTTGGCAATAAAACACTTTCAAAACAACATATGTAAAAGAATTACGGCACTGCAGAACTGTATCACATGAAAATGTGAAGCCATGGTTTAGAGAGGAAATACATAGATACAATCTAAAAACATCAACGTGTTATTAACATGTTATATCTGATAAAAACTAATGTAAAAATCTGCAAATTAATTAGTTCAACTCAAACAGTGATTAAATACCTGAAACACCAAATTCCAAAAAGAAACCTGAAGAAGAAAGATTGAAGAGTTTTGCTTTTTGTTGGAATTTTTAAATTGTAATTACTACATTATTTTAAACATCATCAACTGAAAAACACAGTAATAGATTTTCTTTGCTTAATTCATGTAACAAGAGTGGTGTGTATGGCTGGTTCAATTTATACCAGCTTCCTCATGTAATTACAGTGATTTATGTACCAGGTGGACTAAAATTGATTGGAAACGAGAAAACATGACTTAAAGAAACTGAAGAGAGAAACTGAAAGCAGGAGGAAGAATTTCAGATTGAAGAGTCCTAAGCTGTACCCCATGCAGAGAAGGCTGAACTTCAGACTTGTGACGTTTCATTAGAAGAAATGACTATGTTTCAGTTTAAGGCACTCTCCCACAGAAGAGCACTCATAATTGATTTTAACACAAAGAACAGACAGGGTAAACAGGTGTCTTCAGAACTGACGTTTTGGAAATGGATGACTCCAAAATACACCTGTGGGGAATTTCACAGACATCACTTACTATCATTCCTCAGAGTCTTAAGCACACCTTCTTACCTGAATTCATCCTGCTGGTAGCACTTCCTCCCAAACCAGAGGTTTTCCCAGACAAATCAGAACTGGGCCAGTGATTAGATGGAACAGACTCTTTGTTTGAAGTGGAGACTATGCTATTCCTGGTGCTTATTCCTATATTGCAAAAATGCAAAGATTACTTCACTAAAATCCCTGTTGCAACACAGGCCTGCATTCATTCCACCTAATGCACAATCTTAGAGCAGATGTCTGGTTCAACTTGGCCAAAACCTCTCCCCTCTCAGTAACTCTGAATCACTCTCCATCCTCTCATTATACAGGAATGCTGGAACTAGCCACAGGCCCTAATCCTGCAGACATCATAATGTAAGCAGCTCCACTAGCATCAATGGCCGCTTATATCACAGGCCACAAATACTCTCATGTCACAGAAAGTGAACCTTGCTATGTACGTGAAATCTGTGCTTCCAATAAAAGCCTAACAGCAACAAGATAACTTGAGAGGCAATAATGGCAATTCCATTTCTCACAGTACTGTACTCTTTGTCTCTACTGAAACCTCAGATTATGCAAACAGTTTGCACTACAGTTCAGATGACACCTATTATTTGTTTTTAATATAGATCCCACATTTAAGCAGGGTACCTAACATTCAAGAATACACTCAAAATTCAGGATATGGCTAAAAGCAGTATTGGGATCAATGTGCTTTACAATTTCCTCTAGTAAAACAAGTTTTAGCTACCAAAACTCTAAGTGAGACAATTTGAAGTCAATTATTATTTCAGGAAAAAAGACTGAGTTTGCTGTCACAATACCTTCAAATTTACTTAATTAATTTTGAAGAAGTAGTACTACAAATGAATAAAAATTATGAATAGAAATTATGAGAAATAATATACTTATATTCATCTCATTTTAAACGCTGTCTGCCTCCTGTACTTCATCCTGCCTCAGCACTGGTGTCAGTACAGCAGAGGTTATCATGAAGACAGGCATGTAATTCTATTCCCACTACTAGTTTGCCTGTTGTTCATGGTACTACACGCTCATGAGGTAAACACACGGCACTTTCTTTTCCAGTCCAGAAGACCAGTCTTATAATTTTCAGGGAGACAGGGAGTAGTCTGGCACATATACAGACATTTTCTAATGCACTTCCAAGTACAAAAGTATCCATCAGGAGGAAGAAGTACCAACAGTCCTGTCCCCTTGTTTGTACTGCTAGACTACTAGAATGCAGTTTGTGTCGTGGCCATTCACACTACAAGCTCTTTCTGTCCTTGTGCTCTTTGAGCAGTAGCCCACCTCCACAAGTTCAAAGGGTAAGAGCTAATGTACCAATGACTATTCCATACTCCTGTAGGAACTGCAGGAAGAAAAGGAAAGTATTTTACTAACCAGGTCGATACCTAGAATGGTTTAAGTAGTGCTGCTTTGCTGCAGAAACTCGCAATGTAGGAGTGTCCTGCCGCAAAAAGGTCGCATGGGAAGTTCGTGCGCTGCTGCCAGAGCCTGCAGCATCCAAAGGCTTCAGGTCCAAAATGCTTTCAAATCTGTAATTGAAAAATTGGTATGTATAGTCCAATTCTTATAGCACATGCTTATTCACAGCTTTTTCAACTATACCCCATCTCCAGGAATAATCTCCTTGTAATGTGTTTGCTACACCATAAACACACAGGCAACAGGGAATATTATCAACCTGAAGTCATGCAAGTGCCCCTGAAAATCAGATCTGTGCTTCTAGTTCCCTTATATACTGCTTTTAAAGTTAGCAAGTTTCTCTCTTGTGTATACCATCCATGGAAACTGCAGCTTAGACTTATCCGAAACAGTTTATATGCGAGGAATATGTCAAAATTGTTCACATATAAAATTGAAAGTATATATTCAACAATTAACTTTGGGAGACTTACACCAGTTATAATTTTCAGTGGGAAAAAAAGAACATGAAATTGTTGAGATATACATTTCTAGATACAAAGAAAGCATGAAGAGTAAAATTACTAAGAAAGAGGAAAAGAGCAAAGAAATAGACCAAATAGCACATACACATAAAAAACCCCTTACCTACAAAGAGTTTCATCATTCTGCCTCTTCTTGTTTTTCAAGTCCATTCTCATGATGGAAGAGCTGAAATCAAGGTCTTCCAAATCATCCCAGTCTTCAGAACTCTTAACTGTCCTGGGAAGATGCCCCCATCTTCGCCTAGGTTTTGGTTTAAGTTCACCATTTATATTCTCAGATCCAGCAGGTGTTTTCTGTTACAAAGATTGAAAAGAAACAAACCTACATGCTTAGACCACAATCTAGGTGACAGGAACAAAAAGGACTTTTTTTTCCTCTATCTCAAAGAGCAACAGTGACAGTAGAGCTGTAACAACACAATCTTCAACTCTCATTAAACACGCTAAGAACACAATCTGTAGCCTGCTGACATTATTACATATCTTCTGCATTTTGTCCTGCAATAAAGCATCTTGAATTTATACAAGAAGAAATTTATTTGGTCTCAATTGCAATTCTATTGATGTTCCAGTATGCACCTCCCAAAACATTACCTTATGCTCAATTTTTACTTCTAGACCCATGCTGGGAATATAAAACTACATGAATGCTTATGTTTCCACAAGCCTGTGTCTAGACATCTATTTTTTGTTTCTCTTACAGGACAGCATAGGCACAAATTTGTGCCTCTTCCGTCATTCAGACTCAGCAGTACATTTTGACTTTGTGTGACACTGGTCAGAACAGACTGCTTATGACTGACCCTGTAGCAGTAGCATTCACACTGTCTGCTCTCATCACCTACTTTATGAATCCAGTCTCCTCATTAGCAGACAGAAAGGGTACATTCTCGTGCTTCGAGAAGAATCTGTTGGTTTCCATGTCCAGTTTGGAAGACCAAACTATTTTATTCCCAGTCAATAAACTGGATGCCTTAAACGGGTGAAGGCAATAGTCTCCTTCATTTCAATACTATTTAGCTTCATACTTTTCTCTCTGGCATCAATCCCATTAAATATTTTGAACACTGTACATCCATTTTATTCATATGAAATCAGTGTAATCCTGTAAGTGGTGCAGGTGTAAAGGGTACCAAAAAATGGCTCTAAAATGAGAAATTGACTTGCTTGTTTTACAGCAACTGGATTAAGACTTCAAGAGAGGAACTTCCAGTTTCTAGCAGACAGTTGGAACATTAGAACCATTTTTTAGTTCCATTCACTGTCCTTTTAGTGAAGTACAAGCACCTTGAAAGAGAACAAGAAAAAGAAACACAAGGAGAGAAGCCAGGCACTGTATCAGAAAGCTTATGTTATGCTAGATGGGTATTTACCTGCTGAGGAGCCTTACTGTGTATTGCAGGCAGAAGAACCTGGTTAGACTTGTCCTCCTGTGCACAGTTACTGTGCTCAGCCCCAGAGTTGTCTGTCTTACACGCGTACACCACGTGCTGAGAAGACTGGCTTTGCTGAAAAGGCCTTGATGAAATTCGGGCATGAGGTTTCAGAGGGGGCTGTGCTGGAGGGACAGGCTTAATATGCAGAGACAATTTATTATGCAGGTCCTTTTGTTTTCCCAGTTCCTGAATGCCCAAGGCATGCCCAACCTGGAAGTATGAGTATCGAAGTGCCTAAAAAAAAAATAAAGATGTTAGGCTTAGAAAACCAACGTTTTTTATTTACCCCAGTCCTATGTGTCAGCATAAATTTAATTTCCTTTTTTCATGGGATAGGAAACAGTAGAAGACCCATCTCTCAACACTAGATTCCAGTGAGCACAATCCACTTCAAAAAAATGTTGCAATAGTAGAGAAATTTCAAGAGATACTGAGTTATCAAATCCTCTGTGGACTACTACAGAAGGAAAGGTTCTGCAGAATTAAGATAGTTAACCAGGTATATGGCAGCTAAAGGCATGTTTCATTACATGCTGTCTCTTCATATGTGTGTGTGTGAAACACATCCCCCTCATCATTACATATTCAGCCAGCAAAACTCAATGACCCCAGATATATCGGCTTCATTCTCCATTTCGGAGACTGAATTAAGTGAAAGAAACACAACCCTTATGGAAATTAGCCTCTACCTTTTCTGACAAGTTAGTAAAGATAGTTACTAAAAGTACTTTTATCTGCCTTACAAGTAATTTGGAAGTTGTCAGTAAAGGCAATTAATATATCTTGCTGTTTCAGGCACACTCATCTTCCCTTCCCAAAGACTTCTTACTTCAAAAAGCTTCTAAAAGCTCAGATTCCTCACTCTATTTGTACTTTACTGTAAAACATTTGTTAATGCTTTTAATACTGTTACAGTCAGTGGTTTTTTGTTCTTCATTACCTTTGAGAGTTCATAATCTATTTCACTTTTTAACTGTTTTCATTAAATGTCAAGATTTTAATTGCACTTTATACTGAAGGTCTAATTAAATCACAAAGGTTCAGCTATGGCCCTTGAAGTCAAGTGTCAAGAATCCCATCTGTTTTCCATAAAGCTGCCCTGCTCATTGTATTAGTTGAGTACTACCCAAAACCAGCAGCTACCACCACCTGTATGTGCAATACTGATGACCTGGGCAAGGCTTATGAACAGGATGTTGGAACATATCTGCAATGCACTTGGGCTGAGGCTGCCCAGCAAAAGCAAGCCTTATCCAGGCAACACTGGGCTGGAGGATCAGAGAGCAAGGTGGACTAACAGATGGCTGAAAGGTCAGTCCCAAAGGGTGGCAGTCAGTGCAACAAAGTCTTGGCTGGAGGCCAGGAAGTATCTGTGTCCCCAAGAGGTCATTACTGGGCAAATACCATTCCAACACCTCCATTAATGTTGCTGCTGGTGCTGCAGAGTGCACCTCAGCAAGTCTGCTGATGACACAAGTAGAAGGAGGGGCTGACACACTGGCTGGCTGTGCTGCCACCCTACAGGACTGTGGCAGGCTGACAAAATGGGCTGACAGGAACCTCACCAATTTAACAAGGATAAATACCAAGTCCTGGGAAGGAATAATCACATGCACCAGTCCATGCTGAGGTCAACCACCTGGAAAGCAGCTTTGCAGGGAAGGACCTGGTAGACACCAAGTTGAACATGGAACAGCTACCAAATATGCCCTTGCTGCAAATAAGACTAAGTCCTGGGCTGCCTGAGCAGGAGTGTTGCCAGCAGGTCAAGAGCAGTGATCCTTCCCCTCTGTTCAGCACAGGTGAGGCTATGCCTGGACTGCTGTGTCCATTTTTGGCCTCCCCAGAAAAAGAGAGAGATGGACATAGCAGAAAGAGTCCAGCAAAGGGCCACAAAGGTGATTAAGGGACCGGAGCATCTTGCATATGAGCAAAGACAGAGAACTGGGACTGTTCAGCCTGGAGAAGGTTCTTGAGGATCTTATCAAAGTATGCAAAAAGCAGAAGGGAAAGTGCAAAGGAGATTGACTGAGTCTCTTTTCAGGTGTGCCCAGTGACAACGGACACAAACTGAAACAGGGAGCTCCTTCTGAACATCAAGAAACATTTTTTTACTCTGAGAGTAACTGAGTACTGGCACAGGCTGCCTAGGGCAAGGTGACTGAACCAGATTCCAGTCATTCTGTGGCACACCACAATGAAAGAACAGCAGCTCAGCCTTCACCCATACATCCTACCTTCACTCTGCTGCTATTCATAGTGACTGGATTACACTTAATTCAAGTGTATTTATACATTTGATTATTAAGCACATACCCCAAGCAGTTGATGTTTCATGCAAAAGATTAATTATTCTCCCTTAATTACCCTCCTTTGTCTTTCAAATTGTTCTTGGATTCTCTTCCCTTCTAAGAACTGCACCCCTGAACAACTGCTAAATGACTGTTCCCTGCAGTAAAAGAAAAAAATCACAAGCAGACAAAAAGAAAATAAAATCAAACCTGACTAGCTGTTGGCCTCTTTTTGGGGTCCCACTGCAGCATGTCTCTCATGAGCTGCACTGCTTCACTGCTAGCATTAGGGATGAGAGTTTTTAGGTTGTTAGGTACACACTGAGGCCAGCGAAAATTCATGGAAGCTGAAAGTTGGTAGCCTTCAGGCCAGTCATTCTGCAAGAATGAGATTTTCAAACACAAAAAAAGTTCAGCTGTAAAGTATCAGTCCCTAAGCACACTAGCACATATTCTACCTGAAACAGACCATGCCCAGCTTACTCTGCTCTTACATTGAAAATTTCACTATGAATCTTCACCCCAAACCTCTGGTGAGAGGTGAGTCTTGCTGTACATCTGACAGAGTCAAGGGCACAAATGGAATGAGGAAGTAGGAATCTTGCCATGATTCCAGTTTTTAACCTCTTAAACCATAGGTTTTTATGCAATGTACAAGAAAAAATTCAATTCCCACCTAATGAAATCACAGTCTAAGGACTTTGTTTGCTATGCAGGAGCCTATTTTTCCTCCTCTGTCAGGTATAGCATAATTACTGCACAGAAAGTAAGTTTTAATTTTGTTTACTGCATCTGAAATCAACAGCATAAATTAACAGTAAGGAGGAAAATGTATTACTTTTATGCTTACTGCTACTGTGCCATTGTGTACTGTAGAACAGCTGCAGGATTATTGCAGTCTGGAATATCACTTTAGTTACCTTTTTTGGCGTCCCTAAGACTTGGCAAATTTTGAATATAGTATCAATTTCACTGGCGCCTGGGAAGAGAGGCCTCAGCGTGTAAACTTCTGCCATTATGCACCCAACAGCCCAAATATCTATTGGAGAGCTATAGCAGGTGGATCTCAGAAGTACTTCAGGAGCCCTGTACCTGTAGAGGAAAGAAAGAAAAGGAAATCCCAACAATCAACACAATTCAAACATACATGAAATTGCTCACCTCTTCATTCTTTGCTATTAAGAGAAAACAATCTTTAAAAAGCTCCTCTCCTCTCCTGTACACACTTTTTTCTTTTCTTGATTAAAACTACATAATCTTCTGTAAACTCTCTCACACCTTCCTGACACAGCAATCCTAGCACATTCCAACCTGCCTTACTACACTCCCACTCTGCTCCTGTGCTGTTGCTATCTGTAAACTATCTTGCACTAACTGAAGCTTTTCAAATTATACCAAGTCTAAATAAAAGTTTCCTAATGAGGAGGCATCAAAAGTAGTACAACAGTCAGCACGAATTCAGTACTGTACTACTTTCAAGTGTTGATTGCAAGCTCCTACAATGTAAGTGAGCTCTAGCACTTACCATCTTGTGGATACATAATCAGTGTAAGGAGGTCGAGATCGGATTTCTCGGGCTAAGCCAAAATCTGCAATTTTCACAAGTTCTGGTCCCATGCAAAGCAGGTTTTCAGGTTTCAAGTCCCTGTGAAAGAACCCTGAAATTCAAATGAAATATTGATGTGGATTGCAATGTCCCTCTCAGCTGCATCCTTTATTTTCCAACTGGATACTTTCACTTGAGTTCTTATCATTGAAGCTGGAATAGCACCATACAGGTATCAAAGTCCTATGTGATCAGCAGAGCTGATCAGCACAGTATTGTTCAGTTAGAACAGTGAAGAAAGTATACACAAGTTGGCTATCTTGTAACAATTCAGAGCATTTATTCAGACAGCTCTCTTTCATGTGACACTTCTCTAACATAAAAAAATTTCCACCATTTTAATGCTAGTTTCATTCTAACTGGAAACTGACCAGTGAAGTTATTTTAAACAGAATATAAATTCAAATGAGGAGGTTTTTTGCACTTCAAACTTTTTTTTTAATCTGAGAACATAATCGGCAAGCACTGAGCTACTCAACACGACGTAAGGAGATCTCAGTGCATTTTTTTAGTGTTCTCTGCATTCAGCAAAAACTGATCATGAATGAATGCTTGGCAAGAGCTCTTTTAATACAGATGAGAGAAGAGGGCTGGTGTATCAGTGACTACTGTCTCTGAAATTTGCTTCCACCATCAGCCTGGAAATCTTGTCCTGCTTCTTTCTTGCAAGTACCTGAACCACTGTTCCGAGACACAGCTCCCTCTGCAGTACCTAACTGAAGCTCTCAGCTCCTTTCCAAAGACTCCAACATACTTACTTTTTCCATGGCTTTGAATATGTTCCCACAGAAAATGGACTAAACATTGACATAGGATATTTCCACATTGTCCAGTATAACTAGATTAGCTTCTGTTCATTAGATTAATGTATAACAGCACTGAAGACATAGTGCTGTAGGTATCTACTAACCAGGAGACTGCATCCTTCCTAGGGATGTTCAGTTTATATTCTGGTGCCAGACTGAAATACTGCTTCTTTGTGAAAGGTACCAGGCAAATCAATCAAGGCTGTTCTTAGCATTTAGTACAATCACTTCTGTACAATCACAATCTGTTGTGTACTCAAATATAAAAAGATGCTTAAGAGTTTGGATGGACAAAGAATGTAAGAAGTTCACTTGACAAGCATTTCTATGCTACACAGGAGCAGAATGGAGAAATAGAGAGAGGGAAAAAAACACTCATGTGATTTTTTTTCCAAAACTGTTGTGGAGATAATCTTGGGATACTCATTCTTACTCTGTGAGCCACAATATCATCACAACCATCCTGTTGAGCTTGCCAAATATTTCCAGGTGTTCTTAACTACAGATCTGCAACACCTTGGCAGAAATACAAGTCTAGTGTGGTAGCAGGTCAGTGAGGAAGGCAGTTTTGACACAGAACTGTTCAGTCTCAACAGCTATAGCAAGCTAAATAGCAATATAAGCTGTTCTGAAATGCTGTGATCCATTTGACAATTCACTGAAAAAAGCTGGCTTAGATTTTTGCAAATCAAGCATAACATTTTTCTATACATATATTTGTTTACATATGTATGTTTACATATTATGTGCGTCAAAAACAGACTGGAATTTATAGTTAGGTTTCAGATGAGTATCCAAGCCCCATCAGAAGAGTGAATAAAGTCATTAGCTGGAAAGTATTTTGCAAAACACAGTTAAATGTGTTCTTCAAGAGAACTGTAATGCTGGTCCTTATAAGCATTTCACTTCCAGGACTCCGGCCTCCGATGTCAGTTCTCTCTGATAACCCACAGAGCTGCCCAGCACCAGACCCCTCACTTTATCTAGTGGACAGAACTGCAGGGGTCAGCAAAAAACAGTGAGGAAGCTTTTGTTAAAATAAGATGTTTGTTTTGAGATTTTTTTATTAGTTAAGTGGGTCTTGTTACTACTGGCTGGTACATCAGCTTTAGCTTTTACCATTGTTATAAATATTAGTCAGAAGCCCATGCAACAAAAGCTGCTTGTCACTCGACTTTATTACTTTAAATATATCTTATAGAAAATCTGTGTTTTATTCAGGTGTCTGTTAGTACCTGGAAAAAAGAGTAATTTCTTCTTTATTCTCAGTCTCAGGGGACCTTTAAATCTATCAAGAAATGTGTTCATTAACATCCAATGAGTTTGAGTGGCCAGCTGCCAGACTGAGAAAGTGGAAATCTACAGAAAAGGAGCTGAGAAAACCTCCAGAATGAAGTATTAGGCAACTATAAAATACAGGTGTTTTCAATCATCTGAATCTCTCATACAGACCCATTCTTTTGATCATTTCTTCTACTGAAGTTAGTAATGCAATTGCTTGTGTACTAATCAAAAAACTTACACAAGCACTATCTGTCTCTAATTCAGAAGGTTCATAGCAAAAACATAACCTACCATGCTTATGAATAAATGCAAGCCCTTGCAGGATCTGATACATAATATTCCTAACTGTAGACTCAGGGAACAGTTTGTTTCTGTGGAATAAAAGGGAAGAAATAAATATTAATGACTAAACTCACATATTAGCTTATGCTATCTAAAGAATCAAAGATTAAAGGTAGCAATGACAAATAAAACTGCTAGTCAGCTTTCCATATTTGCCTACCTTCTTTTCTTGTTTCAGAAGAAATTCTTATTTCTTATTCTACAGTCCTTTTGCACAAAACTGGCAATTAACTAAGAATTAAGGAAATAATTCACATTCTTAAAGGTCTGACTTACACAATGTCTAACAAGTCCATAGCCTAGCTAAACTGTAGAGTATGATGCAAAACATACTCTTAGAAACATCTTGGTTTTTTGTTTTTGTAAGAAGGTAGGATATCAAGCATTTCTGTGACTTCCCAAAGATAACTGGGTTCTGTTATAGACTTGAACAATTTCTCCAAAGTTCATTATTTCATATAATATATATCCATATATGTGCCAAATTTAATTACAGTTTTCTATCCCTGTGCACGCATTGTGTTTTTATGCTTAAAAAGGTATTTCATGTGGCATTCACATAGATATATTATAATTATAACCTTACTTTCTTAAATCAAGGAAGATTCTTGTCATCTGCCAGGCTCATACTATGGTCTATAGAGAGAAACAATTCAAAGCAGGAAATTTTGCCCTCACTTATCCTCTGGTGGATGTTATCATGGCCCAAAGGCTAAAATTAAGACTTTCTTAATGGTCCAGCAAATACCAAGCTACATTTTATTCAGAATGCTGACAAATGAAATAAGCAGTCTTTGGTCATGTCAGTTCAAACAGCAAGGAAAAATAATTTCTGGAAGCAATCCAAAATTTGATACCTCTTGATTACTGTTCCAACTACTTTTTATTTATTCATTTATTTTAGGAATCCATAAAGGAAGAGATGGTGATACCAATTTCTTATTAAAAAGCACCACTGGAGTACTTACATAGAAATCAGAAGCTCTAGGTCCAAGGCCTCTTCAGTGTGAGGACTATTAAAACCCACAGTTCCTACCTCTCAAAAGAACACCCTACCACACTAATGTGGGGTAAGACACTGGAAACTCCAACTAGACTGGCTGGGATATGCTCAAAGGGGACAGTCACAGCTCCGGCTGCAGCCTGCAGCTTTAAGCTATAGTGATCCAAGCCTAAACAAATAATCCAAAGTCCTTTGAACAGTATCAGGAGTGTTAAAAGCACATTACACAAGTAATTAATTTATATCAGGAACAGGTGATGCTGTAACATACCTTTCTTTCATTAACTGATAAAGATTTTCCTTCATGTATTCAAACACAAAATACAGATGATCATTTTCCCTGATAACTTCTTTCAGCTTTACCACATTGGCATGGTTTAATTTCTTCAAAGACTAGAAACAGAAAATACAAACAGGATTTTACAAGGGTCTTAATATAGTGAAGGAGAAAAAAAAAAACCAACTTATTTCATTGTTGCAGAAGGATTAACATCAAAAACTTTCTGGTGTCTTAAATAATCAGATAGCTCTGAGAACAAAGACCAGATCTCCAAGTATTACAACATGTATATACAGTCTGTACAGCAATTTAATGTGCTGGTCATTCAAAAGCCAGATAACTGCTGTCACTGTCAGCACCAAAACAACTGCATTTTCTCTGTAAGAGACTTTCTAATGCCAGAATTTACACTCTTCTTGCACCTGCACTGGCAACAGCCAAGTTAGAGTCAAGACTAAAAACAACCCTGGAAAGTCTTCCTTGGTATTGTGGATTAACTTTTGCAGGCAGCTGAGCTTGTTCAGCCCCCCAAGTGGGATGGGGAAAATAATCAGAAGGGCAGAAAGTGAGACAACTCACAGGCTGAGATACAGAGTTCAATGGGTAAAGCAAAAGTCAAGCATGCAAGCAAAGCAAACTAAGGAATTCCTCCACTGCTTCCCAGGGACAGGCAGGTGTTCAGCCACCTCCATTACAGCAGGGCTCTATCACATGTAATGGTTACTGGGGAATCAAATGCCATCACTCTGAAGGTCTCCTGCTTCCTCCTCCTTTCCCCAGCTTTTGATGCTCAGCACAATGTCACATGGTATGTCCCTTTGGTCAGCTGTCTTGGCTGTGTCCCCTCCCAGCCTTTAGCCCGCCTTCAGCCTACTCACTGACAGGGAAGCATGAACAACAGAGAGGGCCTGAGGTTGCCAAAGCACTGCTCAACAATAACTAAAATGTACCTGTGTTGTCAAGACTGTTTTGGTCAGAAATGCAAAAAACAGACCTACAGAAGCTGCTACAAAGAAAACTAACTCAACCCTAGCTAAAACTAGCAAACCTGGGTCTTCTTTCTTTTCTTAGATTTTCAGTGTATTCGATGTCCATTTTTACAGGGTACTGTAAGAAAAATGACCTAGGCATGTTTCTGCATGTTTTCAGTACTGACCATAAATTAAGGAGGCCCCTAGAGCCTACCCTCCAAGTTTTGCTGGCATCAGAATTTCATGCTGTAAGTCTGTCCCCAAGCCAACTATAGAGAAACAATTGCACGTACAAAAGTTAATGCTGCACAAAGGGATGTGCTCTCAAGCTCTGACAAACAAGCACCAATCAACTCCAGGTGTTGTGACAGGAAAGCTCTCACTCACACACTCCTCACTGCAGCTCTCACTCACACACTCCTCACTGCAGCTCTCTACAACTAAATAATTTTATAAGACACTCCCTTCTAATGCAGAGTCAGGAAACAGAACAGTAATGTCATATGCTACAGCTCACTTTGGGAGTAGTGTTTTGACACAAGAGTTGTAAAGAAATTGATGTGACAGTGATCACCTAATTTGAAGTCAACCACTGAAGAAAAAAAGTACCTTAACCTCTCGAAGGTTCATGCACTCCTCCCAGGAATAAAACTTCCTCTTCATTCTACAAAAGTAGAGAGAAAAAGAATGACTAATGCATTGAAAACATCAGCTGTTCTTAGAACCAAAAGCCTCACTGCATATTAACAATTCAGTTCTTCCATCAGAATTTAAGACACTAGCTCCTTTGTCAAAAAACTTTACATCTCTAGACAAGGTATAGTCAAGTTGATTTACTAGAATACACACTCATATATAATTACAGTCAAATTATCAGTTACTATTACACAGGACTGCATTTTTCTGTATATAAACCTTGCTGAAAATAATTCAGAGCCTTCAACAAGCCCAGGCATCCTATTTTTCTTTCTGATATAACAATGTGGTAGAATAGAGTCTAACTGTGAAAAGAACAAGGGTAGTTTCGACAGTTTTGACACAAATCAAATGAAGATCCAATCACTTCACTGGATCTCCAACTTTATTATATTCTCCTTGCTCCTCTTCTCTATTTTTGATTTCTCTGTAATTTTAGTATTTGGCTGTATTTCCACATTTTCCTTTGTCCACTATTCCCCATGTTTCTACTTCCCTTGCAAGGTGCATCTATCATGCCAACTGCTTTTCAAATTCTGCTTTCCCCTTCAAGTTTATAAGCAACTCTGCTTCAACAGAAACAAAGTGTGTGGAAGTTTTCTCCCAAGCCAGACTGTAACTCTGAACACCATATTTGTGTGTAATGTATGGTCCTGTATGTTCATACACATTTTGATTACCACTCAGTTCTTTAAGATGTAACTCTATGCTTTAGGACCAAAAGGATGAAGGCTCACACATACATGCACACAGAAGACCACAGATTAAAACTCACAAAAATACTCAACTGTGTAGAGTCTGGATTTCAGAGGGAGTTGAGCACTCTCTGAGGATCTGAGCCTTTGCCTTTAATGATAATTCAGTATTACTTATTACTGTAGCAAGTTTCTTGTTTGAGATTGGCTCTCACAATCAGAGTAGTTTAAGAACTACAAGCCCTTCATGCCATTAAGGGGTCTGGATTTTTTTTCAGCAGTGTTTTTGCAGTTACAGTCTCGTGTACTCAGTTACTGGGCCACTTGTGTTTTTAACAAAGGATCGGCATTAACACCTAAGTGAGAGAATACCTCTGGTTTGTTCTGATTTTTCTGAGTTTTTCCCATACTGCAAACTGAAAATTAAAGCAAGACCTTCTAAGCAAGGTCTGATACAGGCAAAATACCCTCAGCAGAGGGGATTTAGAAAGTTGATAAAGCCAGCTATTGACTGCTCATACAAAACAGCATTGTACTAAAAGCTCTTTTGACAAGTCTGTCCCTTGTCATGGTCAGTATTTCAGGAAGGTGCCTGCAATGCTTTACAGCTGTCTCTTACCACAGCTAGGACAAATAAGCCATTTACAAACTAAAGTCACTACTGAAGCAGAACAGAAAAATCAAGTGAATTTCTCAATGGATTTCAAGAAAATCTTAAGTTGAAAAGACCAGTATGTCATAGCATAGAAGATACAGATAATGGACAATGAGATCAGTTGTGTTAATTATCACTGCAGTACTAATATTGCATTGAAAATTAGACTACAAAATATATGTTCCATGTATATAGCAGCAAAAGGGCTGCAGAATACTCTAAGTAATATGTAAAACTCGTTTGCACATAGCAGCAGTGTGCTGTTACACAGTAAGCCTATATATCTCACCCTCTTTATCTCCTGCTGAGGCTTTGGAGGATACAAGGCACTTTTTCATGCTGCCCAAATACAACTCCACACTAAAAAGCTGCACGGAATGTGAAGTACTCAAACCAGCATGACCAAGTTGATGCAGACCTAGAAAGGAAAAACCTGGACTATGCATTATTAAGTAATGTATGAGAACACTTACTTTTTAATGGCTATTAGCTCTCCAGATTCAATGCTTCTCCCTAGGAGAACAGAGCCGTAGGTCCCATCACCAAGCTGTCTGATAGTTTTGTACCTATTCATGATGAGGGTACTTCAGCTGCAAGCACATTTCAGTCCTCGGCGTTTCCTGTGGTTTTTCTCCTCCAAGTGTAACCAGTTCTTTCTGTGGCAGCATAAATACAGAGCACTCAGGACAGTGTGAACAGTTGCAGGAATCATGTTTTCAAGATTTAGCCTTTGGTCTGAAAGCACAGAACATAATCCATTTGATTTCTGAGATTGCTTGTTTGCAGACTCCACTCTCCTCCAAGGGAACAGCCCCTGGCAGCCATACACAAACACTTGTCCTGGAGCCTCACCAGAAAGGGCCAGCCTGTATCTGGATGTAACTGGGTGTAATCCCCAAAGCCAGTCCCAAGCTAAAGCTAAAGGTACCTTACAGAAAGCTTGCAGGCAGCCCTAAAGGGAGACACTATAGCTAAAGTCACAGGATAAAGTCTCACAGCCTGGAGAAAATCATCTGCTAGCAGAAAAGATGAAGCTCTACAATACAATAGGAGGGGATCTGTCCTAGCCAGATTTTTAGGCATGTAAGTCATCACCTTACAAGTCACACTGCCATCAGCTACACCAATATTCTGAATTTCCATATGGTCCTATGTGAGAGAGCATAGCCATATGCATTCCTTTAAACAAAGTGTGCAGAGGAAGAATATTACATTCATGTCAGGTAAGACCAAATGTATTTTACTACAGTAACTCTAAGCATGAATCAGTCTCTAGAAGTAGCGGCGTCATCAGATTATCTACCTAATCTTTTGTTGTGACACTGCATAAACAAAAAAAAAAACCATAGGACAGTTTGGATTGGAAGGCACCTTAAAAATCATCTAGTTCCAACCCCTGTGCCATGGGCTGAGACTCCTTCCCATACCCAGGTGCTCAAAGCCTGACCCAGTCTGGCCTTGAGTCCTTCCAGGGATGGGGCATCCACAGAATCTCTGCTGGATAATAAAGCAAACATCTTCCTGTTACTAGTTTAATGTAATTGTTGCTGGTATTTCCTCCACTATAGTTTAGAAAAAATAGAATCTATTCTATGTAAACTAATCATACATTTAAAATAAAATTCCCCTGCAATGAAGGTTTGGTCACTTGCATTATCTTATTCTTCACCCCTTAAAAAGACAATACTCATGACTTGTGACTTTTGCCTTCTGTAATGTGTATTTTAACAACATTTCCTTTTTTTTTTCTGTAGTAGCCTTGTATCTTCCTTATTTCACAAAGTTGTGTTATGATTTTAGAGGTAATGGGATTATGTTACTGGAACTCTGAAGTGACATCAATGCAGAGCCACAATCCTGTAGATGCAAGATGTTGTGAACATCCTTTATTTTCCATCTTCTAATCCTACTAGCCCCACTAATACTGATACAGGAATGAAGACCAGGAAATCTGAAATTAGAAGACCTTTTGACAATCTACCCATTGTGCAGCATGTCTCTAAATCTATCTCAGACACCGGTCAGTGTCTCAGACAGGCAGGAGGAACTGCCCTGCAGCAGCATCTGTTTCTTTCCACACACTCACTACTACAGAGACCCAGGACTGAGCACCTTACATTAGAGACCTAACCCCACATTTTGTACTACTTGCCAAGGAACACAGAGCCTGTCCCTAACAACAGCAGTTTCAAGTACCAGTTCCTTTTTGGCTGCTTTTCAGATTGTGCACCTGCATAGCACAAAGCTTTGTTCAGTGGTCTACGTCCAGGTTAAAAAGCTTTAACCTGCTTACTCCAACTGGTCAGTGACTGGATGGCAGCTCAAAAGCCTTCATTCAGATCCCTGGCAACAAGATTTCAAACAATGACACCGTCTTGCATGTTCTCCTAGTCTGAAAACCTAAAATGTACTAATATCCAAACAATTTTATGCAGTAATTTCAAATCATCACAGCTGGGACTTGTGGACTCTTCTGCACCCACTGCCCTGATGATACAGTCTGAAACTGTGATCCTAACAGTCTTCAAATTCAGACTCCTATGCTGTCCCTGATTTACCATTCACATATCCCTTTCAGGAAACTGTGACTGAAGAGTGGAGGAGCACCCTTGCCTCATATTTGAGAACCACAGCAAAACTAAAGATGTTTAACACTACTAGCAATAATCACCAATGGCTGGATAGATTGTTTGATGTCTCTTGAACAGATGCAAGTGATGAACCTAACTATTTATTCATTACTGAGGATAGTAATTAAGTGCCTCTCCTTCCCACAGCCACCAATTTTCAAAAAAAGTTGTATGAAATTATCTTTGAAATTGTCAAATGTGACCAAAACAGACTAATTGAAATATTTTTGAAGAACAAAAGTGAGGAAAAAAACCCAAAACAAAAATCAAACAAATCAACAAAAAACCCCAAACATACAAAAACAAACTCCCCAAAACAACAAAACCCCCTAAATCCAAAACCAAACAAAAAACCAAAACACAAGAAAACCAACCCCCGCCCAAATGAAACAATACCCCAAAAAACAAACAAAAAAACCCCAAACCCCAACCAACCAAAAAAAAACCCCCCAAAATAAACAAACAAACAAAAAACTCCAAGGAAACAAAAAACAACAACAAAAAACCAAATCAGTCAGAAAACACTTATTTCAATGAGGAATTAATGCTAAAAAACATGCCAGGATGCACAGAAATTAACCCGGCTCCCCTGGAAGCACAAATCCACTTGTGTGAAAACCCACTGACAAAGCCTGAATGAAGTCTTCTCTGGTTAATTCAATCAGCACCACTTCTTGTTGTTAATAGTGAGGTTGTTTTAAAATCTACGTTACTTGGCCTTCAGACCGTTTCACCCGAGCCCCACTGAAATTACTGAAAAGAGCATGAGTCTCCAACAAGCAGTCTGCAGAGCTACAACGTGTATCATCTAATCTAAAAATACAATCTACACAAATTCGCACCACCAGAGAATGTAAATATAAACTGCAAAAATAATTTAAAGCAAAAAGTGTTGATACTACAGAGTAAAATGTAAACCCCTTATTTCCACCGTGTTGTAACTCCGAGTTACCTCACCTATACTTTTATTCCCTCAGAAATCGAACAGCAAAACGCCTTTAACAGCAAGACTAATTCAATATATCGAGAATGCTTTTAACTAAGTACAACTCAAACCTATTGTTGTCGCTTATGAACCCTTTAAATACGTATCCACTCCAGTCTGAAGTGCTGAAGCACCGAGAACTGAAAGCGAAACTGGCTCACTGTGCCACAGCCGAGAAACGCAGACAGTAAACAAACAGCATGTGCCTTTTTAAACTCGTCCTGCGCCGTAGCAATTACTCGAAGGTATTACAAGCAGGCAGCAGTGAGAAAGGCGCGGTTCAAAGCCTCTGGTGCGGTCCCCGCGGTGCCGCGTTTGTCACGGAGAGCTCCGGGGGGGCCCCATGAGCCGCACACGCAGGCAGGGACAGATGAGCGATGGCGGGTCCGCCGCTCAGGCCAGCTCCCGGCTCCTGCCCGGCCTCCGCTGCGGCGGCGCCCGACCCCCAGCCCCGGTACACTCGAGTGCCCCCGCCCCCGTTCCTCGCCGTACGGGACGGCGGGTCCCCCGGCCCGCCGTGCCCGTGCCCGGCAGGACTCACCGCGGACGCGTGTCCCCGCTGGGGCCCGGCCTGCGGACAGGCCCGGAATGGCGGCGCTGCCGCCCCGCGGAGCAGCTGCGGCCCAGAGCGGCCCCGGCCGGCCTCGCTCGGCCCATGGCGCGGCCCCCGCCCCGGCCCCGGCCCCGGCCCGCCGGGGCTCCCCGCGGGGGGACAGCGCCCCACGACTGCGGCCGGGCAGCCGCCGGGCCCCTCGCAGAGGGGGCGCTGAGCTGGGCGTTAACGAGAAAGAAACAAACAAACCATCTCTGGAGCATCCCTCTTACGAGAGACTGCGGGAGCCGAGCCTGCTCAGCCTGGAGAGGACTGGGAGGGGATTTCGTTAATGCGTCGATATATCTCAGAGGTGGTGCCAAGAAAGATGGTGCCAGACTCTTTTCAGTGGTGCTCAGTGACAAGACGAGGAGCAATACCCATAAACTGAAACACATGAGGTTCCATTAACCGTGAGGAAGAACTTCTTTCCATTGAGGGTGGCAGAGCACTGGGATAGGCTGCACAGGGAAGTCACAGAGTCCTTCGCTGGAGACATTGAAAAGCCACCCTGGATGTGTTCCTGTGTAACCAGCTCTAGGTGACCGTGTCTTGGCAGAGGGGTTGGTCTAGATGACTTGCACAGGACCTTACCAACCCTAACAGTTCTGTGATCCTCGTGAAAACAAATCCCAGCCGAGCAAACACGAACCCCACACTGGTGGGCGTCTCACATCTCAGAGAGGAGTTTAAACAACAAAACTCGAATGCAGAAATACCAAACTGTGAACAAATGGGAAGAATATTGACATTTTAAGGGGGGCCTGTGCCTTCCTCACCCAAGCACCAGCAGCTCACCCTGGCTCTGACAGGATCAGCTTAAGACATAATGGGAAGAGCAGTAAAAGGAAAACAAGGAACAAAAATTTGATCTAAAACAATTGATTATCAGGACTGTGACAGTGATTCAGGAAGTATTAGCTTCTTTTTACACTTCATCCCTTAGGTTTAAAAAGTAAAGCATATAGAGTTAATTCCCAGGGTTTGGAAAGACAGGATGAGCTAGTGCTGTAATTCAGGAGTACAGTGTAGGACATGTCATTCATGTGCTAAAACAGGTGTGGGGAAAAACAAAGCCCTGGGTGCCTCCCCCACCTAGTCAGAGGTTAATCTTTATATTTACAGGAATATATCATAAAGACTCAAATTCCCTTCAACAGACAGGCATGATTCTCAGTGAAGCTAGGAGGAGCAGTGTTCACTTACATGAGATTTCTGGTTAAGCCACCCATTTTACAGCCCACGTGCACAATCATGTATTAGCACTCAGCCCTGCGACAGCCACAGGATGCCGTTTTTCTGTTGTTACAGGCAAGGCTTTTCCATTCCCAATAGAATAATAGAATTACTTGGATTTGAATATTTGACCTTAAATATAATCTAGTTTCAACAGCCTGCCATGGGCAGAGACACCTTTGCCTACACCAGGTTGCTCAGACCCCCACCCAAACTGCCCTTGAACACTGCCGGGGATGAGGGATCCACAGCTTCTCAGGGCAACCTGCGCCAGCGCCTCACCGCCCTCACAGTGAAGGATTTTTTACTAAAATGTAACGTTTAGTATCTAAGCAGAGGCACACCCAGTAGGAGAAAATCAGCCTTGACTCCAAACGAGCAGCAGCACTATTGATAACCAGTTGTAGCCACGAGCACCCCATCTCCAATCCTCAGGTGGCCATGCCGCGTCATCCCCACCGCTCGCACAGCCCACAGCAGCACCCAGCGCCCCGCTCCGCACCAGCCCCGGCTGCCCGGCCAGGGATCGCCGCCCGGCCTTGTCACAGCCCCCTTGCTTCTCACTGTCTCTTCTCCACAGAGCAGCGCTACGGTCACCTGGATCGGAAACCCAGAGCCGATGCCGGCTCCCAGAGCCCTTGCAGCCCCATTTCCCGGGCCCGCCTGCGCGCTCACCTGCCCGTCCAGAGAAGACACACGCCTCCTCATCCTCCTCCTGAAAACGCTCAGGGCACTACACATGCACAAAGGTTCACAGGTCCATACACGTGGTTTTCTTCTGGAACAAAAAGACTGTGATGCGCTTTTATACAAATAGGTTTCGTCCAAATTTCAGTTTTAGAAAACCTGACAAGGCGTGTGCTGACAGCAGGTGATAACTGTGCTCACTGAACTGGACGGGCAAATTACCATGGCCACGAGATTCAATGGCCTCGGCACCGCTGTTACCTCCACAGTGCGGCACCGAGCGTTGTCCCGTTACCTGGTCGGCAATTTGCCTGTGCCAAGCTCCCGGCCTGACCGCAGTCGCAGCGGAAGTCGCGGCTCCCGGACATCGCCGCTTCACCTCGGTTCCCACTCCTGGGATCGCGCCTGCCGGGATTCCCGCTCACTACAGTTCCCAGCAGCCTTTGCTCTGCCGCCCTTCCCCTGGTGTACGCCGCGGACTACGCTCCCCAGCAGGCCTTGCACCGCGCCGCCGCGGGCGGCAGAGGCGGCACGGGCCGCGGTGCGCTCTGGGACGGGGAGTCTGTGCGGTCGCGCGTCGTAGCGGCCCGCGCGGGAGGCGGCGCTCTGACCTGGCGGGTTCGCCCGGGCCGTGTCCCGCCGCTCCCGCCGCCGGCCCTGCTCGCCGGGAAGATGGCTGCCGTCCGCAGGGCCCGCAGGGACTCCCGCTGCGTGGTGCGCTTCTCCGACCGAGAACTCTGCTAAGTGCCCCTCGCGGGCAGGGAGGACACACGGACCAAGCGGGGGAGCAGAGCCCCCGGGACGGGACAGCGCCGCCCGCGCGTCGGCAGCATGGTGAGCGGGCCCGGGCGGCGGGGGCTCGGCTGTCGGGCAGGGACGGTCGGGCGGGAGCGGGACGAGGGGGGCGTGCGTGGGAGCGGCTCCCTGGCCGAATTGCTGGCAGGCTGCCCTGCCCTGCCCGCCCCCGGGCACCGGGCGATGCTTGTGGGAAACGTGCCGTGATCCCGCCCCAGCGCGGCTTGCCACGGCCGCCTCCCGCAGGGGGTTTTGATGAGTGGGGCTGCTTGGTTCTGGAGCGATCTAGCCCTCCGTACGAACGCGTGAACAAAATCCCTGTGTCATTACGGGGAGCGTGCCCTTCCTTTCCCTTTCTTCCATCAAAAATGTGGTGGCATAAAATCAGTCAGTAATTTAAAGGACTCTGTGGGCCAGGGACTCGAGATGAGTTTGTCATTTAACATATCAGAAATACTCTTTGGTTCGGCATTGCTTTATTGACTGCGTCTCAATATGGATTCAAGTATCCATGATGAGAACTCGATCATTCAAAGTTAAACCGTTTATATCACACAGGAGCTGTTAAAATATCACGGTTATAAAAGCTCTTGTTTTTGAACACAGTGTTGTTTCTACCACATTTACAGAAAGAGAGGGTGACTTTCTGATTTTTTTTATAAAACCAAGAGGAATGTTAGCTGGCAGTCACTGTTTTGCTTTGCCGTGCTTGCTCCTCCCTGAGTTCTGTATGGTTCACACATAACACAGCCGTGTTCAACTGGTGACACTCAGCTTCGAACTGTTTCTGATCTTGGTTTTATTTTGCTGAAACAGAGATCAGAACTATTAAAGGTCTTGGCGTTACAGACAGTTTAGTGGGCGGTTAATGTACTCTGAGGAAATCAGCATGCAATTACTGATTGCAAGACAAAACTGAACTGTGCAAATAAACTAGTTCTGCATTTGGCAAATGGTTTCTAAAGCTTTGCAAGCAAATCAGAATTTAATCTACTCAGCTGACGTCATTTTTTTATGAGTTGCCACCTAAATCAGATGTTTACTTTTGACATGTTACCTTTTGGTGGCTTGATAGACTACTACTTTCCCCGTGGAAAATGAATCAAGCCAGTCAGCCAGTACACGGTATGATGTCTTCCTTTCAATCAGGATGAAGTCACTGTTCCATGTGACAGCTGACTTGTATCAGGGGAAAGGCCAGCAAGCACAACGATGAACTATCTAGATATATCCCCTAAGTAGCAGTTAGAGCACAGTGTTCTGTGGATTTTAGAAACTGTAAGTACAACACAAGTGTTCTCAGAGTAGGAGCAATGAGCCAATTTGTGCACATTGTGAAGTGCTTTAGGTGTGATCTCATGAGCTGTCTGCTGGTGAAGGTCCTTGCTTCACAGTACCTGTGTTTATTCACTTGTCCCAGCAAAATCGTAGGGTTTCAGCTGGTCTGATAAATAGTGGAAGGTTGTTAATAGACATCAGTTTTCCAGCTCATTCCTATGCAGTAGCAATGAATTCATTGCTTTACCAGTAAGTTCAGAGGGCTGGCCACTTAGGCTGCTACTACTGCCAAAAGACAGACCTTTGATATGAGAGGTCACACATGCCTACAGTATAGGGAAGGTAATGCCAACACTTCGGTTGTAATCAATTTCATGATGGTTTTTGACAATTTTTAGACTGTAGGCCAGGTCTTCATAGTACTTTTAGTTTGAGTTGAGAGCATATTTAAGTTTCGAAGAGCATCAAATGAGATTTTAGGTACAGTTGGTCCACTACCATGTCTGACTGTAATTCAGAAATTAAGAAGTAGGGCAGCTGAATGGAGAGGTGGTGTTGAAAATCAAGAGTTGAACAGATTAGTGAAATATAAAGTTTTTGAATGAGGTAAACCTCATCCAGCTTCCTAACCTAAGTAGTTTCAGAGCTTAAATCAGTTTGTTTACAGACTTCAGGAGTTAAAGGTTTTAATGGGCGTGGCTTTATGCACCAGCAGATAGTGTTGATTTAGTTCAGAAATTGGTAATTTCTGCATTTTGCAGATAAAACCAGGCTTATCTGCCCAGACTGAAGAGCTGCCTGGATATAATTCAGCTGCAAACCAGAAGACTTGCACTCTGCACAGACATAATTAGGCCTTATTTCTGTCAGCCCACTGCCATAATAATGCACTTACAGACATCCATTTCAGTGCTGGCTCATTCCTAGGCTGCCTCTGCTTGGCCAACAAAATATTCCTGGATGCTAATAATGTGGTAGGACTGTCACAACTCATAGGGCATTAACTGTCTGCAATTAAATTCTGGAATCAAAGCCCATTAAATTTCCAAGTTATTTACTCCTTGCTGAGATTTAATGCCACTACTGTTTTATAGTGTTCTGGCTCACCTGTTTCCTCTACTGGGAAATTAAAAATGTACGGAAATTAAAAATGAGAATGCAGAAGTAGATTGAATATCTGTTTATCTTCAGCCAACCAACCATGTCTGTCAATTGTAAATGATAAATTATCTGAAACCTCAGTGAAAGCACTTTTAGAAATGACAAACCAGTAAGGTT